ATGATCCAACTCGCCCTTTCGTTAATGGTCACTACGGAACTCGCCTTAGTTCCATTGCCATACTGGATGCTCAAACTGTCGTTATTCAAAAGTTTACTATACAAGGGAGTAAGCCACCAGGTGAGTAACTTAACTTCAAGAGGAGAAAGTCAGCCGTTAGGTAAGCAAAGCTCACTAAGAAAAGAGAAAGCCCATAGTTACACATATCTCGTCAGGAATGTATACATACTTTTCTAGTTTTGGATTTTTTGAATAGCTTGTCAGAACCATAGGTTGAGCTTTTAAATATGAGTAATAAGGTGCCGATAAGTGATTGTTAATGGACGAGACTTTAAATGTAGCAGCACTTTATTCTTACACCATTTCCAGCATATTGGAGAGCTAATTCCTGTATGTGAACGTTTTAGATAGACCTTGGACTAGCCGCACCTTATTTATGTCTTTAAATGCGCTCAGTGAAAATTAGTATTAGTAGTCGTTTAGATGCATGGATTTATGCAGGGCGAGGAGAGATCAATCAAGAGAACGGGAAGAAAGCGCTCATACTAGGAAGAGACACACCTGAACAGTAAGTAAATAGAATAAGCTTTAAGTTGGTAATATAGGAATTAGAGAACGAATTTGAATAATGATAAAAGGAGGGAGATAGTTTCTTTGCATGCAAAAAGAAGACATTTGAGAGCAAAGTTTCTTCATATCTTCTATTTTTGAGCACATGTAAGGATCACATGAATTGAATTCTCAGTGTTGATAGCACACTTAACTACGTTAGTGATCAACATTTACTGATAAGGATGAAACAGTAGATATGAACAGAAACATTACTGATTTTGGCACCATTGTTTACCTTAGGCAACCACTATATGTTTTCTAAGGATTTTTAGGGAAAGAAGAAGAAGGTGGTACAGAATAATTTTAGGGATCATAAACATTTGCAGAGAGAACATCAGAGAGTGCAAACTCTTGTATCCTTTTTACTACGTACTGGTATTATTCTTTTTTAAGTGATATTTCCTTGACTCTCTTCTTTCTAAAAATTAACAAGAGCTCTATAAGGCTATCGTCGGAAAGTGTTGAAAATTAGAGTAAGTTTTAAAAAGAAATTCATTTCAGCCACTGTTCCATAAAGGAGGACTGGACGAACGAGGACATTGTTGTTCGTTTGGGAGAATACCAAACTGTTTATGATATTGAATGGATAAGCGTGTTTTGCTACAACTACTCAGTCGATTTCGCTCATCTTCCAGTTAAAATGGATCACACCAAGGATTTTGTCCCAGCGCATTTACCAGAACTTCGGAAAATGGCGCCTTTCCGCGAAAGAAAAAGAGAATGTGTTTAATTTAGGGATTTATCGATGGGTACAGCGGTGCTGCAATGATTACTTTTTATGTTCTCCTTATTATGTTTATTATCTTTTTCTAAGAATCATGTATAGTAAAATAAAGATTTGAGGACGTTGCAAGCTGTAAACTGCTCATTAACTGGTAGTTTCTGGTCCATTACTTTACAAATTACGATAAAAGCGGAGGTTGAGGAAAAAAAGCAATCTTCAAAGTTATACTTCCACAAATCAGGACTGGATCCTAACACCGGTAGAAAACCCAAGATTTTTTCGTCCTTTAAGACTCAGCCAAGAAACTATTGAGCATTTGCATTAATGTGATGCTCTTTCTTGAACAGCTATGAGAAAACTGAGCAATTTTGCTTATACATCGATGTACACGTAGCTCTATGGAAAACCGTCTATAGAGAATTTTGTCTAAATTGCACCAAAACAATGAGTAAGCCACGCAATCAAGTTTGAAGGACAAATTGCCCTAAAACACGATTCAAGCGACAAATATTGATTTTCACAACGTTTGTTACACGAAATCGTTTTACCCTCTGAAAATGCTGCAACATGGGACTACGTTTCACATAGCCAGAAACCCGATTTTTTCGAGTATACATATTCATAGCGATGGCAC